GCGTGGTGTCCCACTGTGGGTTCTTGGAGTGCTCTCTTTCCTGACTTGGTCGTGAGCAGTGAGAGCTGCGACCAGCTCTTCAGGCTGACTAAACTCAGCCTGGGGGATGAGCTGTGGGTACAGAAACCTGGAGGAGTGGCCCTGCCCTCCCCTCCCTGCAGGGCCAGGGTGGGACAGGCGGGGACTAAGTGTGGAGTGTTCAGTGACTGGCCCCTGGCTCCATCCGTGGAGCTAGAACTGGACCTGGAGCAGCAGCGGACATTGATACCAGCGTGCCGAGCAGACGCACTGGTGGAATGTGTGCCTGTGGTGCTGGCCCAGGACTTAGCCGAGCTTCTGCAGCACCTACAGAAGAGAGGGCTAGACGGGGTTTCTGGGGGCCTGCAGTGTGTCACCATCTCCCCCCGCGTGAAAGGAGTCCTGTAGCTCTGGCCTTGGCCTAGCACACGGCTACCAGGCTGTCATTCCAGCTGTGACCAGATGTTCATTGAAACCTCCAGTGTGGTAACCATGTCTAGGTGTGGTAGGGCTTGGGGGTAAGAGACAGTGGGGAGATGGCATGCAGAAGAGGCAGCAGGCCCACACGTCCTCACTGGCCCTGTGAGGACCAGATTGAGTGGGAAGGAGAAGAGGGCCCCTGCTGTACTTTGAACCTCTCCAGGCCCCCTTCCCCGGCGCATTTCCTCTTTCGCTCTACGCTCTACAAGTGTCCTTCAGCCCTTAGGAGTGGGCGGCATTCAGGTGATGACAGGGGCCTGCCTGTGCTGACGGCCATCCGATGGTGCCCATAAGCACCCTACTGATCACGTCGTATGCCAAGCTTTTGCTGTTCTTTTCCAGAATCTGGCGGGCCCTTTATTGACCAGGTGTACGTCCTTCAAGGCTACGCGGAAGGGTGGAAAGAAGGAGCCTGGGAAGAGAAGGTAGACGAGCGACCCTGCATCGATCAGCTGCTGTACTCCCAGGACAAGCACGAGTACTACAGGTACCGCACGGGGCTCCTGGTCCACGGGTTTCCACGGAAACAGTCCTGAGGTCCCCTCCCATGTCCTGATGCATGTTGTTGAAAGCAGTGGCAGCCTCTTCATTCTGAACACTCAGGTCTCCTCCATGCTTGAAGCCTCCGAATGGGGCAGGCCCTTGTCCAGTTAACATGGTAGGGACTCAGGCTGGGTTAGGAGAGCACACTTCTTCCCGCCGCTTGTAATGTCCTTGAGCTTGGTGTGACCTGGTGGTCTGCAGCCTCACACACACTTTGCCGCCCAAGCTCGGACCTTAGCAGAGCTTCTGCAGGAGAAGCTATCAGCACGACATGCAGGCGTGCGGCACCAAAGCGTTTTGGTCCTAAGATGTGGTAGGTAGATAAGCTTTTCCAAAGATCGTGGTTGTAAGCTCGGAGCTGAGAGCCAGGTGTGTTCCTGCTGCTGCCCTCCAGGCTTTGCTGTCCCATCCGTGGGACCCCATCCAGGATCACGAGGACAGCCCAGTGGTCTCATCATACCAAACCGAAGTTGTGAGAGATTTAATCCTAGCAAGAACTCCACCGTCAGTAGGCAAGATGAGCAGGTGTTCCCAGAACAGCCAGCTGAGTTTGATAAGGCCTGAGTCATGGATGTGTGGGCTTCCAGGTTTGATTTGTCACTTGTGTGAAAGCAAATGAACTAACCGAACTGTCGTGCATTACTTTCCAGAGGTTGGTTCTGGGGTTATGAAGAAACCAGAGGCTTGAACGTCTCCTGTCTGTCCGTCCAAGGATCAGCCTCCATTGTAGCTCCCGTGCTTCTGAAGAATACCTCAGCACGGTAGGTGCCCGGCATAGGCCACCCAGTGACCACCAGCCAGCGAGTGCACACCTGCCTACCTCTGTGCCTCTGTGCACAGTATGGGGGCACTTCCCGCCAAGGCCCGTGGACCTCTGTCCTCTCCCTCACACTCCTGCAGACTGACTAGCTTCTTGTGGGACCCTGAAGAGAGGTGGGGTTGGGATTTAGGAAGAGGCTGTGTGTATCCTGGAAGAGTGGATCCAGGATTGGATCAGCTGCACCAAGGCTCTGGGCACAGTGCGTGTGGGCACAGCCACTGTCCTCACAGACCGGCTTCTCAGGGTGCCTGCACGTGCATCTCCCCTTCCCCTGAGGAAGCAGTTGACTGTCCCTCCTGGTGTAGTGCCGCCATTTCTGAACCTGAGTGGTAGAGACAGGACTCTCGCCATCTTGTTCCAGTGCCCTTCTGCAAGGTGGCAGGAAGAGCTGATGACACAGCCGGGGCAGTGGGGTGAAGGTGGATGTGTGAAGAGGGCATAGAGATGGGGCAGTGAGTAGCCCAGATGGGAGGAAGAGACTGGGCTCTGGCAGGACTGGGCTGCCAGGGCAATGTGGGGGGCAGACTCCAGTAAGGGGTTCTGATCCATTCAGAGACCTGGACTTTTTTTTTTTTAAATCTCCTCTGCCCAACTTGCTTTCCTTTTTTTCTTTTTTAGAGAGTTTTTTTTTTTTAAATACAGGGCATGTGCACTCACCAGAGAGACAGAATGTGAAATCACTCCCCCAGGAGGATGGCCATGTCGCAGTCTTTTCCATTCTCCTCTCAGGATCTTGGGCATGTACACACGTGTGCCCAGCGCAAGTTTTAAGCTGCTGGGTCCAGAACTCAAACTGTGGCCAACTACATGGGAGTCCAGTGACTTAACCATTATGCCATCTGCTGGTCCCCCAACTTTATTTTCTCAAACTTCACCTGGGGACCGTGTGGCCACACCAGGGGATAGACAGCTGCTCCCACTCACCACTGGGTGGCAGGCTGGCCCCAGCACAGCCTGTCAAGCAGGTCCCTCCCGGAGTTGCTGCAGAAGTACAGGGAGCCGGTGTGTGATTTGTGTATTGAACTCCTCTGGACGGAAGGGTCTGAGAGCTGTGTTCTTAGAACTTGCTGCAGGGATGTGGGGACGCTGAGGTTGCAAATGCTTTCTGTCCTGTCCCTTCACTTTCTTTCTGAGTCTCCCAGGGGCAGGCCCAGGTACACTCACTCGTGGGCTGGACCCACACTCGCCCTGCGCTCTGAGGCAGGCTTTCCTGCTATCATGTGGCATGTGTGCCTCCGAAACCCACGGGTGCATCAGTGGTGATCATCTCTGCCGGTCACACTGCTCAGCATCACAGAATGTCAGAGCGGCTGCCAGCCAGCATGCGGGATCCTTTTTGTGGCCTCCTTTCAGCAAGTGGCTCCCGCATACACCAGTCTGTCCAAGCTCCACACACACGTCAGGTTGTCACTGAGAGAAAAACAGAACTGCGTGGTTGTTGAGGGAAACTGGAGTGACTTGTTCTGGAGGGTGAGGTCCAGCCTTAGTGTCATCCTAAGGTTAAGTCCCTCTTACTGAAATATCTGGGTTTCAAAGTAGGCCTGGGTATGTTGGGACCTGTGGGACACACTGTCTTCTCAGAACCTTCATGGCATCCCCAAACCTGAGACACCTGCGTAGCCTCTGACAGTGGACTGGTTGCAGATGGCGATGGTTTTAAACCAGAACATCGTTAAAAATGAAAGAACTGCTGCTGAATTTGGCAAAGATAGATCAAGGGTATGATAGCAAGTGGAAATAAATGCAGAAGATACGCAGTCAGGTTCCAGTTGTTTCAGGTTCAAGGGTACATCCACAGTGGGATAGACAGATATGCGAGGAGGCACCCGGCAGGGAGGCAGGCAGGTGTGTGTGGTGCTGCGGCCCGTGGGGTTGCTTATGCGGTGTTCGCTTTGGAGCTGTGTAGCCGCTCACGTAAGGGAAGCACACTTCTGAGGGTGTCATTGCAGTTCACAGTAAGGGAGCAGTTTTTAGAAACTGGCAGCTGCTGTATCCAGCTGCCCGTTTCCAGACATTCTCTTTGAATCCAGAATGTGTGCGTGCATGTTCCTCTCACTGTTGCAAATACAGATGGAATCACACCATACGTGTGTTTTCTGCATACTTTTTGTTTGCCTGTTTCCTATTTTACCTATCTTGGGTCTTGGCAAAAACGCACAGAGATCACCTGTTCCACATTTTTGCTGGGTAGGAGAACTGACCAGTGTGTGTTGGTGGTCTCTGGTCAGTTCCAGGTTTTGCTGTTAAACACTTTCATTGGTAGAAGGTCCTTGTGGGATTACACTCTGGACAGGCTGGGCTGTGGGCTGTGTTTCTCTGTAATGGTGATGCTCTGTTGTCCCAGTGGTCACACAGGCCTGGACCCCCTCCGGCTGCCGGGGAAGACCACTTCAGTCTCTCTGGAGCTGATAAGCAAAAAGTGAAATCCCAGGTCTGTTCATTTGTTTCTTAGATTTTTAAATAAGACTACATAAAAAAAGAGGCTTTTTTACTTCATAAAGTACCAACTTAAGTCTTCTGTTAATTTTCTTTCTCTGCAGAAATTCACAATTTTAATGTCATCAAATGTATTAGTCTGTTCCCTTAAAAGTTCTTGGGGGTTTTTACCCCAACCTTTACCATTGCAGTAGTCTTAAACATTTGTTCATGCTCTCCTTCAGTTTCAATTTCACATTTAACTCTCTGAGCCACTGTTATAAGCAAAGGCTGGTTAGGAGCAAAGTCCACTATTGTGTTGCTAATAGAAATGCTTGAACCTGGAAGGTGTATAAAAAATAGAGGACCAGATGGTGGCACATGAGTAATGCAACTAGACTCACATGGGAAGGGTCCTGGGTTCATATCCCAGGACCTCCCTGAGCACACAGGACACCTGTCATCCAGACTGACCAAGTTGGCTCATGGTATGAGAACCTGGTGGGTGCCTGTTTTTGTCTCTTTTCCCTCAGAGAAACATAATAAATCAACTTTCAAAAATAAAAGAAAAACCAGTCTTTAAAGAAAAAGAATCAAGGTTTATTTGGCTCATAGTTTGGACTCCTGGGAAGTCCAAAGGCTTAGGGCCAGCATCACCACATGCCAAGAGGAGCAGACAGGCCCAAAGGCATGTGCAGAGAAAGGAAGACAAAGAGGAAGCAGACTTTGCATCTCCTCTGTTCGTCCCTCCCATGCTCCAGCCAATTGGGTGGTGTCCACCCACATTGAAGACAGGTCTTCTCTTAAAGGGCTCACCACCTCCCAATACCATTATATCAGAGGGTAAATTATGACATGGGAGCCCTTGGGGGCAAACCACCATCCAGACCGTAGCAGGTGATACACCGTTTCCCACTGCATTGCACCATGGGCTGCCTTTCTCAGGTCACCCAGCCCTGAGCAGTTGTGATGCAGCGAGCATTGGCATTGCCCTCAGTGGTTTCACCTCTCACTTGGCAGGAGCCGGTCGGAGGCTTACTATGAAGTCAGATGCTAGCCATTGACTTCAGACACACAGACATTGTGGGAAGCACCTTGTCCTTCTTGTCAAAATGAATTTTTGGTAATAGCAGCAAATACAGACTTTGTGATTTGTGGTTTCTGTCATTGTGTGGAGTTGCCCTTTCACTGAGGAATGTGTTAGATAATGGATTTTCTAATATTGAACCATCTTTGCATTCCTGGTATGAACTCTGTTGTTAGGTGTGTAATTGCTTGTTAATTATGTTTTTTGTCTGTTTTCTTTCTTTTTTCCCTTTTTTTATTTTATCACTAGTTTCAAGTGAGTTTGACGACAACTGGCTCAATGACTAGACCAGGAAGTACAAGTCCTGTGTGGTAGAATCACAGGGATTGAAACCCTGTCAGAGCTGTGGTGAGGGGCCAGCCAGCCACTGCCCAGAGCCTTAGCCATTTGCCAAATGCACCCTGCAGTGTTCCTGCAAACCTTAGCCTCTGAGTACCTCCCTGGCCCCAGGCTTGCCCACTTTATGCTCCTAGAGAATGAATATAATCCCATTTTACTATTGCAGTCATTAAACTCTTTGTTTTTCTCTTACTTAAAAATAGGTCCGTGATGTTAGACAGAGCCGAAAATCTTCTACATGATCACTATGGAGGAAAAGAATATTGGGATGTAAGTATTTCTTGAACTTGTATACGTTGTCCAAATGTGTTCAGTTTTTGAAAATTTGAAACAGTTGACAAATCTCTTCATCTCGGCTGATTAAAGTCCCAGGTTTCTTGGAAGCCATGGATTTGGGACACCAGTGACAGATTTTTATCCCCCCCCATCTGGCAAAGATGTTGCTGAGCCTCATTTAGCTGCAGGGGGCGGGCTCTGCCATGGGCACAGGTTCCACCCTCAGAAGCCCTGCTGGGCTGTCACATGGGCCTCTAGTGCTGCAGGCCCCGGACCACAGTATCAGTGGCTTTGGCTCCTGGGTGATGGACAGCCCTGAGCTAGCCTCTCCATTTCTGAAGATGTCTGGTTTGTCTTTTCTCTTTCATGAAAGAAAGAGGGGTATCTTAACAAGGTCTTTATATGGGCCTGTACAGGTGTCTGGCATGTTCAGATTGACCCAGAATCCAAACCCAGACATCCCATGTGGCTCCAGAATCAGATGATGGCACCTGACCCCTTGCATCATCCCAACTGGCCCATTTTTGACTCATTCAGGAGCCTAAAGGGAGAGTTCTTTTGGTTCATCTCTTTAGTTTTGAAAGGTGGGTATATGGTCTGCAAGGAGCCCTGGACGTTGGTGAGGAGCATTTAGCCCTGGGTGACTCAATACCACCACAGTGATTGTCATTAGTGGTGGCAGTGGTTGGGAAAGGCAGCTCCTCTGTGGTCTGGCAGCCTTGTGCTGCTGATATGACATTGGTGACAGCTTATAAAGCAGGTGCCTGCCTTGGAAAGGAGACTCAGTCTTTGCTACTATGGGGCTTTTTAGGGCTATTCAGCCTGACACAGTTCAGCAAAAACAAAAAGCATTTGTGACTGAAGCTTGGAGTTACAAGCTGGGAAGAAATCAGGGTGAAAAAACTTCACAGGGTGATGCTGGCTGAGAGTGCCATCCACTAGCCTAGCAGGTGGCCCCATCCTGCCACCCAGAGCAGGCCTGATCCTTGGGTGCAGCTGGGCTGGCCTGGGCATGGGTGGTGGCTTTCCCTGTAGCAGTGTCATGCAGAGCCTCTCTAGGTTTCTGTGGTTGACAGCACTGCTACTTGGAACATCAGAGAGGGCTGTGCCTGAGGAGTGTGGTGCAGCTGGTTTGTGCATAGGGTGGGCACAAGAGCAGGGTGTGGCCGCAGGTGGAGCACCCAGCTCTGGAAGGCCTAGGTGGTGCTGTGTCCCTACCCACATGGCTCCGGCCTGGCATTGGCTCAGGTGGGTAGAAGGGTGAGGCTCTGCCCCACATGTCCACCTCCGAGGTCTGCGGGGTGCTCAGGTGTTCCCTGTTTCCACAGACCCGTCGGAGCATGGTGTTCGCCAGACACCTGCGGGTGGCGGGTGATGAGTTCAGAAGCAAATACCTGAATTCTACCAATGCCGCGGACAAGATCCCCTTCGAGGAGGACTGGACAAAGATGAAGGTAGTTTTCCTTTTTTATTAAAGCAAATGCATGTCATTTCTTTAGATGCCCTAAAACTCACCTTAAACAAGTCAGAGCAGGGGTGCAGGGGTGGCACAGCTGTCCAAGGTGCCGCTGCTTCAGCTTTTTTGCAGAGCGTGTCTCCCTCCTTGTCTGATCAGGAGACCAGACACCGAGGGCTTCCCAGGTCCCCTGGTCTTGGTGCGAACTTCAGGAAATCACCTGGTCTAGTTTGCTCTCTAGTGAAGTGGGGAAGTTATGCTGGGCCTGGCAGCCGTAGAGTAGAACAGGGTTAAAAGATACAACACAGGAGATCAAAGATGACAATCCGAGTCTCGTTCAGGTTTTCTCCTCATAAACAGGAAAAGGCCTCAACAGCATCCGAAGGGACGTTCATGCCATTTTGGTCCAGTCTTATCCAATTTTTATTTTATATACATTTTGAAAACTTTTTCTGTAAGTTTGGGTTTTCTATAATGTAATTTCAAGAAATAGTATTTTTGAAATTGATGTTATTTTTAAAGCATTTTCAGTGTTTCTTTTTCATATTTCTAACAGCTAATTCTTAGAAATATTTTACCTATTTGTTCCTCATTTAATGCCAACGACCATGTGCATGAGAGAAAGAAAGCACCCTCCAAAGCACCCTGGTCACACCACCATCCCTTTTCCTCCAGTTCTGCATCCTGTCAGGTTCCTGGACATGTGCACACCCAGCACGTAAGCCGCTGGGGCCAGGACTGGAACCCTGGTTGTCCATGTGGATGCAGTGGTTAAGCACAGTGCTTATCCACTTTACCATGGGCTGCCCTATTTGTCCTTCCTTCCTTCCTCTCTTTCTTGTTTTTCTAATTTGCTATAGAGCACGTAGTCACTGGGGAAAGAGAGAACGAGAGCTCCCACTTGCTTCCAAGTGGAGTGACACTGTTCTTGGACTAGTAGAGTCTCTTGAGATAGTCTTTACTGGAAAAAAGGGCGAGTAGGTTTTTCATTTTTTATCTTGTTTTTGTTTTTGTTTTTGTTTTTGTTTTTTCCCCCAGTGTTTCCTTTACTACCTTTGTTTCATTCAGATGAAAGGGTCTGTGGTAATTGCTTCCTGATCATCTTAAGGAAAAACCTCTCCCCCTTAGAACCTCTTAGATCCAGAGGTGACACAGGAGAGGGTGCCACAGGGAAACACTCATCCCTCTATCTCAGGTCCTGCCCACCCAACTCCTGGTCAGCAGGCCCTTGAAGTCTCAGTCTGTCCGTGCTTCTTTGCCAGGTTGAGCTGGGCTCCTCGCTGGGCGGCCCGTACCTGGGAGTCCACTTAAGGAGAAAAGACTTCATTTGGGGGCACAGAGAGGATGTACCCAGCCTAGAAGGGGCTGTGAGGAAGATCCGCAGCCTCATGAAGACCCACCAGCTGAACAAGGTGTTTGTGGCCACAGATGCTGTCAGAAAGGGTATGGCACTTTGGCAAATGACTTCCTTCTTTCTTGTTTTTTTGTTTATTTGTTTGTTTGTACAGGGAATGTATGTTCACTGGAGAGAGAGAATGAGAGAGAAGGAGAACTCCTTGGGGGATAGCTACGCCGTAGTCCCTTCTTTCTCCTCTTGAGATTTTTGGGCATGCACGTACACATGCCTGGCGTCTTTTTCAAGCCACCGGGTCCAGAACTTAGACTACGCAGTTGGCCATATGGGATCCAGCCACCTTAGCCACCACATCACAGACTGGCCTTCATTTATTTTTGACCCTGGTTAAATCCTGGGTAGACCAAGGCATGCATGATTTTCTTCATCTGTCATTCCCAGAGAGTGAAGCTGAATTAAATGTATTTTTTGTTTGCTTATTCCATGAAACAGAGAGAGACACACACACACCCCCAACAAGTCTTCACGCCACTGTCCACCCCTAGCCCTAGTCAGCCGAGATCATGGGTGCACACACGTGACCGCTGTGTGTAGTGTAGGGGAACCTTGGGACATAATCCCTTCGCCCTTGCCTTCTCCACCAGTGTTGTGTTCCCGCTGTGCCACCACAGCTCGCCTGGCTCTTCGCCTTATAGTCGTTTCCCAAGGAGTTAACAGGGAGCAGAGTTCACGTGTCGTTATGTTAAGCAGATGCTTGTCCCTTAGTACCTGAGGATCCAGGGCAACGGGCCTCTCCTCTTACTTTGCAGAATATGAAGAGCTGAAAAAACTGTTGCCTGAAATGGTGAGATTTGAACCCACTTGGGAAGAGTTGGAACTCTACAAAGACGGAGGTGTAGCCATCATCGATCAGTGGATCTGCTCACATGCCAGGTGCCTGTGCAGCTTCCTGGTCAGCAAGAGTGTCTGCTTGTTCTTCAGTTTGGTCCTTTGTCTCGGCGCTCAGAAGTCAGCACACGTGACTGTCCGTGTGTGCACCCCGACCGCTTCCCTGCAGCTCAGTCTCTCACATTCTGCATAGTGTTCCTCGCGCTGTTGCTGGTGTTTGTTTTACTCTTCGGCCCTCAGGCGCAGGTTCCTCTGTAGTGTGCTGTTGTTGCTTCATCCAAAGCCTCTCCTCCTGGCCTGTATTTCCTTCATTCCTAGTTCCTATCCCATCTACCCCTGCCCTGGGAGTACTTGGTACTCTGGGTTTTGGGCTCGTGTCTTCGGTTTCAAAGTATCATTGAAAAATAGGCACAGGGCATCCTAAAAATCTGGAGCATGAGGGGTTTCATTTCATTGTTCTCCTGGGGTTACCCCTATCCTGTGGGAGACAGGCCTGGATCTCTGTTCCTCTGCAGACTCTGTAGCCACAGGAGACCAAGGGCCTAAACATTCCAAGTAAAACGCGAAGTGGAAGAGTGAGCGATTCTCCTCCTAGCTTCAGAGGTTCGGGCTCCGTGACGCTGCGCATGTGCATGTGTCTGGTCTTCCTTAGGTCAGCGTGTGTTTCCTGCCTGTGGTCTGCTTAGCACTGCGAGCCTGTGCATCTTGACGCGAATGGTATTCTAGTGTCCTGGGCATTGTGTGTAAAACACCCATGGAGCTTCTGGTGCTTTCTTCTTCCGGAGTGTGGTACCCTTCTCTGTTTAGGAGAAGGGGCGAGGGGCTGGCCTCTCGGGCAGGTAGACAGGTCAGGCTGAGTCAGGAGTGGTGTCCAGGTTTCTGATCGTGAGCTTGCAGGTTTCTGTTCCTCGGTCCCCAGTGTTGCTCTAGGAGTTCGGAGTTTAGTCCTCTAGCCTCCTGCCTTCAGGTCTTCAGGAAGCACTGCCTGTGAATGCCATCTACAGACGCCTGACTGTAGGCTGCTCATGTGCACAGTGCTGGCCTGACTGGTTGCAGCCGTGCGTGGGCTCCAGGCTGGCAGGGCCACTCTGGGGACTCACTCACATCACGCGGGTCTCCCCCAGGTGTCAGCTCCCAGTCAGTAGCAAACCAGCCCACATGGCCTCGTCACCCCATGGCCCCAGTGTGGTGCTGTGCATGTACTGCCCACTCCAGAAACATCTCTTGGATTTGACCACTTAGTGCTGCCAGAGAGCCAGGACCAACTGCTGCAGAGTCAAGGGGGAACAGGCCTTGCCCTGGGGGTGGGAAGATCCCCCTGGAGGGGGTCTCCTCCACCTGGATGGCATACACATGAATAAGCCTGAGTTCCATGTTTCTGCTGCTACTCAGAGTAAGGACCCTCATCTCTATTAGAAGACAGTTGTGGTAACTGCGAAGCCCTTGTTGATGTCACGACCACCCTGTTCTAACAGTGTTTGATCTGCATGGTCATGCCTGGCTGGCATTTGGTGATGAAGGCAGGAATGTTCCCAACAAGGCACCTGGTGGGAGTGGGTGTGGAGGGCTGAAACTACTAGCAGAGCCCAATGGGAGTGCAGGCATGGGGACACAGATGTGCAGTGAGCTGACCGCAGGGAACCCTAGCCTGCAGGGTCGCAGCATGCAGCGCAGGGGAAGAGGCCAGACAGGCACCTACTGGTGTGTGTGTGGTCCTCAGGCCTATTGATGTTTTGTCTCTGTGTGACTTGGAACTTCTCGTGTTCCTGCAGGTTTTTTATCGGCACCTCAGTCTCAACATTTTCTTTTCGGATCCATGAGGAAAGAGAAATCCTGGGCCTGGCCCCCAAGACTACGTACAACAGGTTCTGTGGAGACCACGAGGACGGGTGTGAGCAGCCCACCCACTGGAGCATTGCCTACTGAGCAGCCCGAGCCTTCAAGGGGGTCACTGCACCCGACTGGAGGACAGCTTGGACCATCCCTTCCCATGGCCCTGGGCCCACTAGGGCCCCATGGAGGCCCCGCAGATGCACTGTGCCTAGCGCCGTGCTGTACCAGCCCTTGTCTGCCCAGAACGAGGCCCGGCCGCACTTAGGGGCTTGCCAGGTGTGTGCAGCAGGACCTGCGAAGCTGTGTCCCAGTGGCAGACGAGGCCTGTGTGGTGATCTGAAAGCACAGGGAGTTTGGTTGAACCTCAGAGGCCTTCCTGACCTAGGCCTACTGTCTTCTGCGTGTTTTCAGGGTATCACGGATAGGCTAGGGACCCAGCCTGCCTCAGCTGAACATGGAGCTGATGCTTCCCTTGTGCTAATGTGATTCTGAATCCGCCGGTAATCATGTAAACGTCCACGGGCATGGCCAGGGAAAGTTCTCGAACCCTGCCCCTGTACACCGTGTGAGACCACTTATGTGCTTATCCGCTCACGAGCTCAGCCAGCCCAGGGCCTTCAGCGAGCCCTGAGAGTAATGACCCCGCCTCCCCTCTCCTAGTCAGAGTGCTAGAAGACTCCAGGGGCTCCCCAACGTCTTGTCCTGCTCACACAGGAGCCCCTCAGGTTTGTCTGCAGGAAGCACTATCTCCCTTTTCACTGGGGTCCAGCCTTCATCCCAGCAGTTGGGCACACGTGGGGCCCCAGGAGCCAGCGCTTGCTGTTGGGAAACAGGATATGACTCAATGGTCACACCAGCTTCAAGAGACTGCGTCGGAGACGAGCCCTCTATCAGACCGCTCTCTGTATCCATTTCACGGAAACCTTTTCTAGATCTTCACACTGTTCCCACGAGGGGCTCCTACAAAGAGGGTGCTGTACGTGGAATTGGAGGGAGCAGTGCCACCTCAGGCCTTTGGGGTCCCAGTAGCCCCTCACGGCCCCTGACTGGTTCCTTGCCATGATGCCACCATGATTTTGTGGTCATCGGCCTTCTCTGAACAGCCACTGCCCATGTCTGCTACTGGTGCCATGACAGGCCCCATGTGAAGCACAGAACAGTGAGGAGGGCCAGAGCCTTGCCCTGTGCAGAGCCCGGCTAGCCTAGGATGCAACATGGTCACTTCCTATGTCTTCTTCCTGAGCTTTTAAAATCAGCCCTGAACACGTGGCAGGGTCCTTATGGTGTTACTCAAAAGCTGTGCAGGGTAAAATGACATATTTATTGTTTTTCCATTTGTACATCCAGATATTAGTAATAAATTTTCTAGAAAGTGAGAATCCTGCCTTTTTCATCCCTTGACTTTTTAGGTGCTGTGCTGCACAAAGCAGCTTGGGCTGGGACCACCTACCTTCCTTGTTAAGAAAGCTGAGCCACCTTGTGGTGGTTGCTTTTGCCTGGCAGGGTAGGGGCAACTCTGTCCAGGCTTCCTAGAAAGCCGCTTGCAGTAAGGACCAGATCTGGTGGGACAGAGCCAGCCTGTGGGACTGCAAGCCTATGACTGGACATCATCCTGGCTCAGGTCTGCTCCTGAGTGGACCAGTGAGGACTTGTCACCAGTCACAGCCATCCAGCTCTCCACCGTCACTGGCCCGTGGGCCGGGAGGCTGTCGTA